TGAGCCTCAATCCATATTGAAGGCTGCAGTCCTTGACTCTCTGCAATAAGCGCTTAAGGTCCTCCTCAGTTTCAGCAAGTAGGGTTGTATCATCTGCATAATGCAAATTGTTGATACATCTTCCACAATCTTGACCCCACATTTTTCCTCCTAGAGCCCAGCCTCCCGGATGATCTGTATACAGATTGAAAAGGTATGGAGATACGACACATCCCTGGCGTACACCCTTCCCAGTTTTGAACCATGCAGTGTTCCCTTGCTCTGTTGTGATGACTGCCTCTTGGTCCAAGTATAGGTTTCGCATTAGCACGATCAAGTGTTCTGGGATTCCTATTCTTCTCACAGTCAGCCACAGTTTGTTATGATCCACATAGTCAAACGCCTTTGCATAATCAATGAAACACAGACATTCCTCTGGTATTCCCTGCTTTCAGCCAAGATCCATCTAACATTAGCTACAATATCCCTAGTACCACAACCTCTTCTAAACCTAATCTGGACTTCTTGCAGTTCTCTGCTGATGTGCTATAGAGTTCTACCAACTTTTACAGTCGGAGATCAATCAAACATGCAGTCAAGATGGATTGATAATGGGTGACTGGAATGCAAAAGTTGGGAACAGAGAAGAAGATTCAGTAGTTGGGAAACATGGATTCGGTGACAGAAATGAAGCTGAAGAGAGAATGATTGAATTTTGAATGATCACTGACTTATTCATTGCAAATAAGTTTTTTAAAAGACATAAACCCAGGTTTTACACATGGATTTAACCTGATGGTATATATAGAAATCAGATCTATTACATCTGTGGAAAGAAGGAACTTCTGGAGAAGCTCAATATCAGCTGTGAAAACTAGGCCAGGAGCTGACTGTAGAACAGATCACCAACTACTCATGTATGTTCAAGTTGAAGCTGAGGAAAATGAAACCGAATCCACGGGAACCAAAATATGAGTCTCTCCCACCTGAATTTCAGAACCATCTCAGGAACAGGTTTAAGGCCTTGAACACTAATAAGCTGTGGGAGCATATCAAGGGTATCATCCAGGAAGAGTACAAATGGTCATTGCAAAGACAGAAGAGGAAGA